CCTCTCTCATCTTTTTAAGTGGGAGAACTTGCACAATTGGTGGCTGACTAAATACTTTTTTGCCCCACTGTAAAATGAGCAGTCTACAAAAGCAGTATGTCTAAACTCAAGAGACCTAACTTTCCTCTACAAACTGGGACTAAATTTAAATGGTGGGACTCTCTGGATGTTCACCTTAACTTTCCAGACTTCGTAAAATATCAAAAGGACATCAATCATAAAAAGGATGTCTATTATACATGCTATCGTGCTCTTGTAGAATAAAATGCCTCATCAATGAAACTAACTTGAAACAATCTTGTTTTGAGGAAGTATCAATGCAATATAAAAACATTTTATCCATGCATTATCCCAAATGCATAAAACTGGAGAGCAGGCTGCGTATACCAGTCTTGGCCACTTAGACCCCTGATTTTGCCGCGTTGAATATCTGTGTCTACAGGGAAGTTCTACACATAATGGAGCTCAGTAGACTACTTGGCACCACCAATCCCACTTGCATTCAGCTGAATGTTGTTAGAATTTTCTTGCAGACCTTACTGGGCAATAAGGCTGTGCAAAGCATTCAAGAGAGGTGCACTGCAACATTTGTTGGCACAAGTGAAGCATTCTCAATGTATTAAAGCAGCTGCATCCTTTGAAAGGAATGCATAGCTACCTAACTGCAAATGCAAGTCCCAAGGGCATGCATAAACACTTCCATTGGCTTCACCCATGCACAGAAAGCTATGGACAGCCTTCAGAGTAGTCTTATGAGCCTTCAGAAGGATGCAGCTGCTTTAAAGCTTTCAGATTCTTCATGCAGGCTGATGAATTATACCCATTCCAAATGTTTTGCATAGTTCAGCTGTCCAACATGTCAAAGAATTAGCCGAAAGGGCAACACACAGGAAAATATAGGCAGGACAAGAAAATGTGTTCCCATACTTAATTTCAGGTTTCACCAGCAAAACACGTTATAAGAACACATCCACATTTCTGTTATTTGACTCTGTGCAGTATGTGTGGGAAAGGAAAATACATTTTTAGAATGCTTGTATATCTATACAACAAAAGCCCAAAATGTCTAATCAACTTCATATGCATATTAAGCTTTTTAAACAATTTATTGAGATTATTTGTTCTCCACAATGTGTGAACTTAACTTTTAATAAGTTATTTATTAAAACAAATGGTGAAAACTAAGTTAATCCAATGAAACAGGCATCGAATCAGTAGTTTCTTTTAAAAAGTTTATTAGGCTGACATTGCTATGAAAGTTAGTGTGCAATTTTTTAAAAACACTATTAATATCTCTGCACATAAATAGCCATAACCTGCTTACCCAAGGTACAATTTTTGGATTAAATTAATATGTATGGTACATATTTATTCTGATTTTTCTTTATCTTAATCGATTACAAACGGTCTTGAAGATCAATGGAAAACAAAAACAGAAGTATTTTTTATGCTTCTGATCATTAATGTTACCATCAGCTGTTACTGATAACACTTGATTACTGGAGTTTATTATTCCATAAATAGCATTAAATTTTCAAAACAGAAAATGAAAAACACAGTTGTAACTGAACAGCTTTATGGTAACCAATTAAAAAAAAAGTTAAAGCTTCATTTGTTTTAAGAAGCCCTGTCCAGCAGGACATACATTAGCAGCAGAACACTTCCCTTTTGTGTCTTGAATACTGTATTATATATATGTGCATGCAAAATCCACATACTATTCAATCAAGGAATTAGATCTACATTCATCAGGACATGTTTATTTCAATACACGTAGTACACACGCAATATAGAAAAGAAACTTATAGGCCGTTTTTAAACAAAAAGGCACTTGCTTAGTACAAGACGATATAAAACATTTTGGATGTAGCTTCAACCAACATGAACCACAGATAATAGCCACTGGTGTACAATACCAACCTAAATGTTCAGAAAGATATTGGGAAAATATTGCCTCAAATTTGTTACTGAAATACATTACAAAGCTGCAACACAGTTGAGTATCGGAAATATATTGCTCCTTAATATGCTGAAACCTATCTAAAATACAGATGGATCATTGTCATAAAAGTTGAATGGCTATTATCCATTGATAACAGCCATAAATCTCTAAGTGGAAACCCCCTTTAAAGAAGTAGTATGCTGATATGCTGGGACCAAATAACAATAAACAATTATTGTGTTCATGTTCTGTCTTTGGTATTTCAAAAGTATTAAGCTAAATAGTACTGGAAAGCAACTCTTGGACTAGATGGAGCTTTAGCCAGAACCATCAAGTCAATTCTTATAACTAAAAATGGGATGACACAGGTAAGAATTAATTTCAGTAAATACAAACAGAGTATGTTGTATCTAGTGCTTAGAGGACTCTGAAATGCAAACTCTAGATCTTGGATTATGAGTAATTACCATGCTTCAGAAGGACAACTGTTTTCATATCCAACCTATTACGAAAAAGTAGTTGGTATAATGGGGTCATGGGTCACAATGATGCCAAAAGAGGCCAGTATATCATATTGCAATACTACAATTCCTACCTCTCATTTTTCATTTCATGAACCATTTTCTCCATTAACTGGCTTAATAGAGACTGGAAGTAATTTTATACAATGCATATTACTGATAAATTGCTTCCTTTTAGAACTTCCATGCAAAGAAGAAAATTTATGCTAAAAAGCAAGAGTTGTTTAATTTGGATCAACAGGATAAAACAAGGAATAGGAGTGATAAAGCTTATCAAATGTACTTTTGTCCATGTTCTTCAGTATTATGAAAATACAGATGCAATATTTTGACAGCTTTTAGAAGAGAAACCAGTATTATTTTTCTTACAGTCATATGAACGATTTTATACAAAAGGCTCAAATTCAAGATAATGCAAACTTTGTAAAGTTTAGTGTTTGCCATTTTCAGGCTATTAACTGATTATATACTTTCACTCCTAGAATAGAGTTTTAGAAAAAACGTACAAAATGTAAAAAGTTTGTCTCACAAGTTATTTATTTTTTACAAGGAACAGAAAGAGAATTGTAGCCCAATTAATACTTTATTTTGGACTCTGCTGGAATGGGATCACAGAAAGCATCTTATTGAATATTTCTAGGCAAATATTCAAATATGACGGTCTATACAGCACCAAGATATTCAGGGAATGGGAAAGGCTAAGATAAACTTATGCCATTAGTATGCAAAATATTTTTAAGTAGAATGTGGATATGCCTACTCTTACTTTTTTGATATATCTTCCTTCATCTAGTGGCTACTTACATACTATTTTTTTTGATTCAACGTATGCACCCCCATGCAGAAAAAAATGTTAATATATGAAATAAATCTATCTATCTATCTATCTATCTATCTATCTATCTATCTATCTATCTATCTATCTATCTATCTATCTATCTATCTCAACTAGTTGATCAGTTATTTCCCTACAAAACCAGAGGCACACACAAAGAGGGTTCATCCATTGGAAAAACAGCGTATCCCACTGGTCCAGTTATAATCATATTGCCTTCTATTCATACTTTTTATCAGGAAAGAGCAACTTCCTTATGACCAGAGACCCTAATAAAAATAATTTCCAGGCAACATGGCTGATGTTATCACTTCAGAGGCGCCAAAATCTTGGCCCTTTGTGGAAGGGTTTGGCAATAAACGGAGTGTTTTCAATCTCAACTCCTTGGTCTTTAACCTCTCTCAAAATAGGGAAAAGGGCTTGGGGGGAGAAGGGAGTTCTAAAGGGTGAAATGTTTTTAAACTAATGGGGTTTACTGAATAAATTTCACATTTATTTCACCCCAAACTGCATTGAAGGACAAGAAGTTTCACTACACTCAGTGTTGCAGTATCCCTGCTTAATATAGATTTTTCCATGGTTTTAGATCACTTTAATGGAATTCCTGCATGTCTCCAATAATCCCCAGTATTATTTAAAATGTTCTTCACATCTAGTTCATACAGAAAATATGGCTTGGAGGTAAAAAACTGCACATGTATCAAGCTTTCCTCCCCTTCTCAATAAAAACTAGTATTCCTCAAAGCTGACCCTGAATTGAGAGATCCCTCCAGTTGTTAGGAACTACAGAAAGGACAGGTAAAGATCAGCTGCCACTAAATTTAATTCTTTAATACAAACTCTTATGGAAGATTACAGAAAAAGAAAAATAGAGACACTGATTCTGAAACCAGAGGAGAACACAGATGTTTTTATTTTGTTTTTACCACAGGAAGTGTACTATTTCAGATTTATTTTACGTAAATTAGTCAATCACTTCCTTTCAGAAATAATCTCCATTGCTTTATGATTTTGTATAATCAAATAAAGTCTATACAGCACAAAAATACAATAGGTCCAAGTGTTATTTTACCACATACTAGATTGTTTAAATAAATTAAAACAAACAAACCACCTTGCCTTCTCACACAATCAGGATTTCATATACAACTTCTTTGGAAATGTTACACAGAGAAGCTATGAAGTTATCACATAAAATTGGCAATGCATTAAAAATATTAGATTATGGATTATTCATTGTCCTTGAAACTTCTGTATATGACTGCAAATTCAGATTAATATTCTATATACTCAGTAAATAATTAGTACTCTACAGTTTGCAACATTCTGTATTCAGATCCTACTGCCATACAAAATAATACACCTCAGACAAGTAAATGGATAAAGCAACAACTTACATAGCTGATATCTATTGATGGGAAATGGAGTATTCTCCCATGAGACAGAGCTGATCAGTACTATCAGATATGATGTCACGGAATTGCTATGCATGTGGTACAGACTGGAGGGCTTTATTCTCTAGCATATTTTGCCAATACTGAGACACATTCAGAAAGAACACAATCACAGAAGCCTTTTTAAGGCATAAATCACCATTGCTGGAGGGAAGTATAAATGGATGGGATGCAACTATGCAACTGTATTTTTGAATAAAAGGTCATCTGACATATTTTCATAGATTAACATCAGTAAAAGAAAACGTGTTCAATAACTTACCTGTTTTTTTTAATATGTCAAATCCATAAAGTTACAGGGCAGCTTTCTCTGTTTTTACCAAAACCTTTGAATGGTGGCATCTTTATTAAAAAGGCAGGCAAGCATCAGTTCAGATATCACCCATAGCACCCCCTAAAGAGAAATCCTATTTCTTATAATTCACTGAATGTCTTGGTAAAGATTGTACCAGAAAAGGAAGTGGTATTGTTATATGATATTAACCATCTGTTATTTGTTTTAAAATCTATTCATTATTTTAATGCAGTCAATGCATTAACTTGATATTGATAACTTGATATTAACTATTCAATAACTTGAATAGTTTTAAAGAAAGTGCACTAGGAAATAATATATCTGTAACCAAGAACTGTATTGCATTGTGATTACAATTTTTACAAGGTAACTTTATTTACTGATAGTGTCCAAAAAATAGCATAGTAGCTTGTTATAATCAGAGAAAGCCTATTTGCTGAAACCAAACACAAGCTAAATATCAAATGGAAACAGAAATGTCAGTAATTTCTCCATTAAGATGAAATCCTCATGCAATTTAGTGTTTTAATTTAAATGTAAATACAATTATATTTGGCAAATATATATTTTAAAAAGCATTGGATAATCTAACCTTCCTGGGGTTTGCATATCTAGTTATAGAGCAATCAGGACCATAAAATACTATATAAATACTTGAGTGGCACAATATTATTCAAGCTTTTCTATTTTTCACTGTTAAACTAGTAAGAAGAGTTATATCCTAAAAGAAAACTTTTAAATAATTTAAATATTTCAAGTCTTTTGCTTTGATAAAGTTACATTATATAAATAAAAATATTGAAGGTGATTTCCTTACTATAAATAAGGAAAGGCTAGAGACATGGGGACAACTGTAATTTAAACTGGAGTAACTTTTCTCAGAAAGTGACAAATAAGCACCAAAGAACAAGCCAGAAATTATGTAAGATAAACCATAGTATAGTTTGTAATATTCAAGAAACAATTCAGAAATACAATTTTCTCCCAGAAACAATCCACAATTATTCAATTATTGTTAATCTGAACATGTTCATTGATGTGTAGTTTAGGCTAACTAAAATACAATTTTTAAAGATGAATCTTTAATAAGAGGTTTACAGAAAGCTTCTGATGCATATGCTTTTTTATAGGGTAGTATCAGATGACTCATTTTGGGGTGCAATGCACTGAAGTAAGAATAACTATAGGATTTGATTGAAATGTTTCTTCAAGCAGCATGTTTTGTGTTAAAAGTTAAGAATCAGAATGGGAATACAGCTTCAACTTTAAATTTTTTTTAAGCGTAATACACATACACATTTGTGTGTTCTGTTTATCTCAATATATCAACTTTTTCAAAATTGGAATACTACTCAATTATATACAAGATGCCATTGAAAAAAAAAAAGCGAAACAGACATGCATTTATCCAGCAAGAGTAATCCACTTATAAAAGTTAGGCATCCATGAATAAGATTGTCTTATGTGGTCCCAAATGTGCAAACATGAATGAAAAAAACTGCAGCATCTCATAAGGGTCCACCCTGATAGTTCAAATGCTGCTGGAACGAGCATGCAAAATCTGTATGCAAAATCATTGGTTATTATCATTATCGAGAACTGACACTGCATTCCAGGCAAATGGACCAGCTGATATGCATTAGTTTTTGCACACAATTTGCTGTTACATATGAAGGTCTCTGGACAAAATCCAAGAATTATTATATAGGCAATATATTTCACAAGGATAAAGGAAGAGGGAAAACATGGAAGCATTGCAGGAAAAGATCATTCTTAAATCAAATGGAAGTCTTGACATTGCTTTAATGCATCCTGCACTATAAACATAAAATCCAATCATAACTTGGATGTTTGAATGTTAGTAATAGAAAAATGTTTTCACAAAAGCATCTGACATTATAAGGACTAAAATCCCTGAGTAAATCAAAGACAATAGATACGTTTGGCCTGAGAAAACAATTATTTGGGATTAAGTATACAATCTTTTAAAAAAACGTTTCTTAAGGCAACATTCAACTTTGAGGAACACAATAAAGGAAAAACTTTTTAAACAAGCTAGAACCCATATTAATGATATACAGTTGAATGCAGATTTGTGTTAATAGAAGACCCACTGAAATCAATTGGTCTAAAGTTAGTCTTAACTAATTTAAAGGCCACTAATTTCAATGGATCTAAACTTATTTTTAATAAATAAAATTATGTTAAATTGTAATGTCTGTTTCGGGACTCACCAAAATCGGTTTAATTTTAATGGGTGAAAAGGCAGTAAATTTGGGTATTCTTTGGGGTTAAAAGAAAAGGCTGATGCAAAAACAGATTTTAAAATGAACGTATTTACCAAATAAGAGACATCTGTTCAATTCAACTGAGACTCTACAGTGAATCCAGATTATATATTACAATTCATTTTATACTGTTCAACAAACTGTTCCACTTAAGAAGTATTGCTAAAATGTGCACTGCGTGTTCCCTTCCTGCACAATGCATGCAAATTAGGGTTAATAAAGACTGAACTCAAGAGCAAAAGACTTGCAAAATATCCCATAACTATTTTCAGTAATACTGTCTTGCTTTTTAAAAATCTCCAGTAGTCATTGAAAAGAAGTATTAATACCTCAGGCTGAATTGTGCTGTCCAGAGAGTACAAATAGAACTCCCAACATTGACTAATGGAAATGGAAATGGTGATTTGGCCTCTCGCAGCCAAGCCACTACTGAGAACAATTGGGGGACTTTCCAAAACAACATGAGAGAGAGATTGCTCTTGAGCTGCAGGTCCTTCAATGAGTGAAAGATCCTTCCTCTCACTGTAGAACTATTTCAGTGACTTAAAGGACACTTTTAAAATTCAACTCCTAAGAACTGCATACCATGCTTTCCCCAGCATTCTCTTCTCTGTTACCCTGGACATAACAGAACAGCAACTTAAAAAAAAAATCCTTGATTGTTCTTATTCCTAAACCTGTTAGCTGATTATCTTTTTTATTTTAAATCCAATAAAGCTTATTAATTTAAAAAAAACCCACAAGAACAAAATGTAATTCAGCTAACTGCTCTTGAAGTCAAGCAAATTTATCATTCAATTTTGCTGTAATAAATTGTTTTTAGGAAGCTTAGAATTTTACTGGTACTCTTTTAACTCAATCACTTATATCCAGTATCTATGTATATATGGGCCAATTTAGGTATACAATTACCCACTTTATGTCACTTGGGAAACACCAGAGAACTAAGAGAAGTGTGAATATGCTGAATCCATACAAAAGCATAGAAATTTCATCCTGCAGCCATGATCTTTCCCAGCTTTTAGGGAAGAATCATGATATGGCAGACAAATCAGTATTGGTAAGGTCCACATTTTCTCCTCACCATTATGAAGAACCAGACCAACTGGCACTGTGTTTTAATTGGCCTTACATTAAGAACCCTTTCCTGAACTATGGACATTCCTAGATTTTTTAAAGGAAGAACTGGAAACACAGTTTTAGATATAAACTGATGCAGTTCTGTGGAAATGTAATATATGTGGATTACCTCAGAGCAAAGTGATATTTTCTGAAATGGACTTTGCTGAATACTCTGAAAAACTATCTGCAAGATGTATAGTTTTCTGCATTTCCTAGCTCTTGGAAACATCCTTGACTTCTGTGGCATACTAAGAATCATCATGCGGTATGGATATGTATGACAAGGCTTGCATGCCAGATACCACAGAACCACCATAAAGAGCAGGTTTTTGTCTCTTACTCTAATTAAGTTAAACAGAGTGAATTGCTTATGCAATCCAAAACATTATAAATGGATGACATTATCTCCCAAACATCCAAGCTAATTCTTCTATCTTTTCAAACAGTAGTAAAATATGAAACAGTCATGCTGTTGTAATCATTTCTCATTTCTATTCTGGGTATCTGTCAACGGCTAATAATGTGGTTCATTGTTATTAGGCAAAATTTCATGTATAAGATAATTATTGCATTCAGCACCAGATAGTACCAATCATTGTACTGCTGATGATCATACCAATCATCAGAACAGAATATGTTAATCAATTGCCAGCATGGAACCTCTGAAGAGAAGAAGTCACCTTCACTCAAATTGCTTCTGTAAAAGTTCTAGAATTATTGTCAGTAACTGGGGGGAAATGTTGCTAAGCTATACTCCTTTCATGAGCTCATCAGTAGATATGCAGCTACAGTGCAGATATAAGCTGTTCAAGAAAGGAGAGTTGAACTAAACCCTAGGCAGTTGGGTTGGAGGTTTTAAAAAACAAACTTTTTTTTAAGTTGAGAAACCTTCATTTTGTCTGAGGCACCAGTTCAGAGCAGCATTCTGGCTTGTCTTTAGTAGCGTACAGTGCAAAAGGAATATGGCAGATGGCCGCTAATCTCTGCCAGGATTGTGATATCAAGACAGTTAACCAGCACAGTATTGCTGTGTTGCTGTTACTTTGCATAAGCCTTGCAGGATCAGCTCCATTCAGATGCACGACTCTTCACTCGACCCAGGGCATTTCTGGGAGAGTTTGTGGCCTCTTCTTCTTCTTTTTACAAAGACAATAGATGGGGAACACAAATAAACCTATTAAAAACAAGAGAAAACATCATATTTTAAACATATACCCATACCACCACTATACACAACTGTATTTTGAACTGAAATAAATACACTCTGGTGAAACCAAGAAAAATTCAGTAACAATGCACATAAGTGTTGTTCTCCAGAGTTCTCACTTGAGGCACAAACGACCAGGCTCAATTTATCCTACTTCAGACACATCATGCAAAGATTTAGCTGACTAGAGAAGGCTCTAATGCTGAGAAAGGTGGAAGGAAAGAGAAGAAGAAGATGACCAGCAGCAACGTGGATGGACTCAGTTACAGGGGTGATGAGTGCACCATTGAAGACTTGAAAGAACAGGTTTGGGATAGATTGTCATGGAGAAAATCTGTCTATGTGGTCGCTGGGAGTTGCAAACGATGACTTGATGGCACATAATCAATGAAAAACGCTTGCTTCAGAATACTCAAGTTTATAGCAGTGTGTTTTATTCAGATTTGTATAACTTCTCTTTCAAGAGCTCAAGCCAGCATATATAGCACGCTCTCCTGCAAAGTTTTCCCACAACCAACCTGTGAGTTAAACTGGACCAGCCTAAGGTCATGACTGGTGACTTGGATTCATGAAAGCATGAATAAAAATTACAATTCAGGAATAACATTGAAAATGCAATTCTAGAAGTAATAACATTATAAAAATATGTTTTGTAGAAAAAAACACATTTTCCAACTCTTTGCCACAGACCCAATTCAAAACTAAAATCTCTAGTTTAATTACAGCATATATAAAACTTCAAGAATTCAAAAAGTAAATGAAAATCTTGGAATTTTTGCAATGTATGCTACAAGACAATTAATACTTTTAATCTGTTTAAGAACAGTATTCACTGACAAAGATACTTGGAAAGAAATAATATTGGGTATTTAAAAAAAATCTGTAAACATTTCAGAAATTCCACTCTTGGAGTAGAATTTGCAACTGTGCCCGTAATTAAACGTATGGCACTCTGGAAACAGCATGCAAATGAAGGCATTTGAAGGCAGTTAATAAGCAAGATATTGCCTATATTTCCAAACTTAGATGAATTTACAGAATGTACAGAAAATCACTCAACTTCCTCTCATGACTCAGACTATCTTTTAAGATTTGTCTTGGAGATCAGGCAGTACCCTTCTTTTTAAATATATGAAGTGCAAGGTTTTTTTAAATGTGTAACAATCAGCTTTTACTTTATCCAAGATCTCTGACACGGCATTTGGTGGTGACAATTTGTCCACTATTAGCGCCCACCAGGGTCCCTCAGTTTTATCTTAAGACAAAAACAAAAAAACCAAAAAACCCGAGAGGGAAAGAGAGGGGAAGTGCCATGGTGCAAAGCAAAGTGCCAACCTTCAGCATCATCTTTATGTCCAAGAAAGTAAAAATGGTGGGCAGGCCATTTTTAGTATGCCCATCTACTCAGAAAATGGACACAAGTAAGTGCAAGCAATAGGTTTTCTGGACATGGTAGGTAGATTCTGATAGGTTGGTGCTTTGAAATGGGTTTTAGCACAAATGGTAACCACTGGGGTGGACAAGTCCCCCAAGCCACCATTTAATTTAATTGTATTTATTTATTTCAAGATTCATAAGGCTGCCCAACTCAGACAGTATGACTCTGGGTGGCATACAACATCTGTAACAGGTCCTCAAAATTCCAACACTGGTGACTCCTACTTTCTGATGTTCAGAAGAGAATTTTAAAATGTGTTATTTGTTAGCGTTTTCAGTACTTCATACTGTATTTAATTATTCTAAGTCTTGTGATTTTTAAAAATTTAGCTTCCTACAATGATTGGAAGAAGATAGCAGTTTCAACCAAATCTACTAGAGAACTGGGGAACAGAGTAAAGGAAGTTGCAAGAGGAGGAAGAATCAGAAAAAGTCATTACCTACCTATACCGGTTAGACCTTTTGTTGGATCATAATCCCTTCAATTCATGAAAACATAATGTAATCCAAACTAATATAGTCAATGTTAAAACTTAACTGTGTTGACTTACTTGCAAATATTAAATATAGCCAACATATGCCTTTCAAATGTACAGTTATTAAATTGCAGGGTTTTAATTAATTTATAAATAAATAAAGGTTGAATTTCAGGGGGAGGGAGGGAGGGAGGGAGGGATAGAAAGATAGATAGACAGACAGATAGATAGAGGTTGTGTTTTTAATCAAAATTCCAAGGTCTCAATGCCAAATATCTCTGAAACCTTTCTTCTTTCCCCATTTATAATTTCTTTGAATTCAATATATTCCAGATTTTGAAAATTATATAATTCAGAACACACCTTTTTCTCTTACCTATCAGAACAACAACAGCTCCTATTACCAGTCCCAAAACCAATATCACTGGTGCAATAAGTAACTTCCCACCTGAAAAATAGAAAAAAAAGAAAAGATTATATTTCAAACCATGCTATTTTAATTTCTGTTGGGGACAAATTTAGCTTTAAACATTAAATATTTAAGGAACATGCATACCATTCACTTACATGAGAAAATGCCAAAACATTTTGCCTTTTGTGAATGTAATTATCCCCTATAATGGAGAAAACATTTATCCATTTATTTAATTTACACAATTTATGGGCCACTCAACTCCCAATGACTGGAGGTCACTGCTTCTTAAATCTAACTGCAGTTGCACACAAAGAAGTGGGATTTCAACAGAACTAGGTTATGGGGGGCGGGGAATGAACTTCCCTTATCTTCTCAATGGAAATGGTACCATTTGCCTAGGCTTAAATTTCGAAACTACTCACAAGACTGAAAATCATATTATTAATTCAATATGTAATTAGCTCTTTACAAAACCCTGTGGCAATTGTTTTTTAAAATCATGGGAACTTCTACTTCGTTTTTTTTTCCCCCCCTCTCTGAAGAAAAGATGACAGAGGGTGAAAGTGCACAATTGCAGAGTCTACTTCATTTTTTTCTAAGAGTAGTTTAGAAACACACCCAAGATATTTGTACTTTGCTGAACAAATATACTGGCTGTCAAATGTGAGCTGTGCATATTTATTCCAGGTATCAGTCAAAAATCAAAGATTGATTCCAAGGAAGCACATTCAGTAATCGAGCAATTCACCTGGCAGCTGTTATTCTTTGTTACTTTTAAATAACAACGAACAACCATTTCTGGTACTTGTGAATAAAACAGATATACATACCCAAAACATTTTTGTCATAAATTTCAGTATTCTAACTGGATCTTAGTATAATATAAACTCACTGCACTTATTTAACAAAACTTTATTTTTATCTCCCACCTTTTCTTACTGCTTTCCACAATACAAGTAGATGTCCTTCATTCTAACTAAATCATGATGAAATTGTGAACAGAATTTCTTCTATTACTGGTATTTTTATATAGTTGCAAAATTAATTTCACCTACAGAATACTTAAGTTCCACAAAAAAGTATTGACCTGAGAGAATTTTTTGGGGAACCTACTGCTTTAATGTTACCTTTAAAGGACTCCATGTCATTATTTGTGAAAAGTACATAAAATCCAAATAGATCAGACTAGGACTATAAAATATTGAAACTGTTTCCAGAACCCCACCTATGTTAGTCTTTTACTGCAAACGTAAGTCTTGCAGCATTTTCCAGGGTGACACATTTATTCTTGCACAAGGTCAGATCAGTACCACACCTTGGCATTCAACCAAGAGTTGGCTGTTTCAGAAAGCCTTTGGGAATTGATGATGTGGTGGGCCCTATCCATGCAGTAGCCGACTGTTGCTGTTAGGACTCTTCCTAAGTTTATCAGTAGCTAGGAAACTAACTGCTACTGGGTTCTGGTAGGTTTTTTCCCCTCTTAAGTCTTTCAATTTTACTTTTCTATTAGGGAAAGCCACCCAGAGCCTTTTTGAAATTCAGTAGCCTATATATCACAGAAATAAGTACATTTTCTTAATCACTGTCCACAACAGTTTATGCACTAAATGAATTTGCTAGCCTTTAAGCTATCACCTGATTTTTTTAATATATATTCTCCTAAATATTGTATTTCCCAACTCTAAAAATAACAATGGAAATGTTTCAAAGCATATCAGTTAAAAATAAGAGGGCAGTTTTTGCATGTTCAGCAGACTCTCTAGAAGTGCAGAGGTAAACATTTATAAATTCAAAACAGAAATTTGAAAAATCCCCAAACATCTATAATTGATGGCCAACGATAGTCTGAATCTCCAACATCACCCTCGTGGTTCTACCATGGTGCCTCCCTTGGTGCCAAACAACAGGTTTCACTTGATTTACTGATTTATTTTACATCCTTTTAATTGAAAAATAATAGTGGGAAGTTGGTATGTTGTAACAAAAGTACCAGCTTCAGACAGAAATGTTAACATCTAATAATGCTACTGGGCTCTGCATAGACCCCGGAAGCATTCTTAGAAAATAAAAACTGAGCTTTGTTTGAAAGTATGCTCACCTGAAAATTGATTATTTAAATCTGCTGAAGAGACACAGAATATAAGTTAGCTGGATAAAATAAGAGGAACACGGTGCATAAAAAGAACAATGAGTATGACCAGGCCATAGTGAGTTATCTTGAAGGAGGGAAGAATCAGAGTTGGTGAAATGTAAATCCCCTATGTAATCCCGTATGCTATATACAGTACATGATAACATTTTCTGTTATCTTTTCCATTTCTCTTCTCTATAGAAGACCTAAATAGGATTTAAAAATGCTTCCACATGAGGTGTGGAAGGAAAATACCACCCCTTCCCCCTTTTGCAATATTTTTATTTTTGAACAAGGAGTTTACTCCCTTGGAAAATGATGGTGAAGGCTTCCTGTTTTTTTAATTAAAGTTAAGTTCACATTGCAAAAAGCTTGATGACATTTAGCATGCTGCTGCAAAATGTTTTGATAAGGCAACTAAGACATGATTGTGAACACTACATGATGCTATCCCAGGGGCATTCTTATCTCTGTGAATCCAGTCATCTGTATTCATTAGGAACACTTCAGGGAATATTGCTCCATAATCAGAGTTTCGTTTCTGGAACACTAGAACATGAACTTAAGTTTTGTTTTCTGTGCATGTTATTTTTCAAAAATAACTATCTCAAATGCTCACTGCCTTTTTCAATGTTCACTGCTATTCTGTTACATGCTGTCCTATAACCGACTGCATTCCATTTCATTTCAGCTGTTCTATGTAAAAAGATGTTATCTTTTCTTTCCTGGGATCCTGTGGGGCAGACAATGTGTTGTAGAAAAAGCAGTCAGGGCCACGCTTGTTAAGTAAACAAGCCAGCAGACAGGACGGACAGCAAGCCAATAGACAGTATAGACAACAGTATAGTAGACAACCAAGAACAAAGTAGTTAAAGTAAACTTCCTCCAATGGCCTTTATCAGAGCCTGCATTCCATCTATTGTAACATAAATGCCCAGGTCTTATAACATATTATCCAATCGCTGAATAGTGCAAGTTTGCTTGTATTACATACGTATAAGAGATAATAAAAGACTGCTCTCCAAGGCATTGGCATCTGATTCTGTGGTGCAGATGCACTGGCTGTTGTTAAAGAAGATGCAGTAAAAACTTTTTTCTTTACAGTATTTTTTGGGTAAAGGAATCAATTTTCCAGAATAACTGGGTGCTACAAGTAGAATTGGAAGTGGTTGACTGGTGAGCAGAAACTGGTGCCCACAAACGATTTAATCCTTACCCCTTGCTCTCATTCCTCCCTGATCCCCTCTTGAATTCAAACCCAGAAAAGGAAAAGTATGGTTAAACTGGTCCAAAAAAAAAAAAAAATCAATATCCAGGTTTGCTTCTTCCCCCTATCCTGGGTGAGTCTGTGGCAGAAGCTCATCAATTGGTCTTTAGACCAGGTCATCAGTATTCTTAAATTCCATCCCTGAATGGGATGGTCAGAAGGATTGAAATATCTGAAATGGTCACTGATCCAGTTAATGCAAAATAATTGTGGAAGCAAGAGTGTGAAATATGTACACAGATGGAATGGATGGACACCTAGTAATCCTTAAGACAATTTCTGGGCACCTTTGAGTCAGATAAATGTTTTTATCTTAAAAGACCAGCAGTAGGTATAAAAGGAGGTAGAAATATGATGAAGACTTATAAGTGGAAAAGAAAAAGATGTTAGGAGAAAACATGAGATGGATTAAAAGCCTGCAGGAAATAAATAGCTGATTAAAAAGTCAACTGGCAGAAGCAAACATTTCATTAGTAACAATTCAACTGCCCTCTTCTAGACTTTATTCCCAGCTGCCTAAAACAGGACATGGTCAGTGTGCACATGCCTACCCTAAGAATATTTTATATACTACAGTTTGGCCATCCTTGGCTCAAAAGGAAGCACTGGTGGCAATGTTAACAGAGCTACAACTTTACTTACCTATTCAGAGGAAGTGATTGTACCCCTAAACTCAGACATACCAATCTCTACTCCCCCCATTCAAATTTGGTAAATACCATATCCCTCAGTTAAATATGAAGAGGGATAGTGGAGTACCAGAATGTATGAGACCAGCCTGGGGCTAATCAGGTCCATTGCAACTGCATACATTGGACTCCAAATGATCTGCACAATATCGTTTTACAATTTCCTAAATTTAATGCAGTCCTCAGAAATTTAAGCCATATTTTATGTTTATGACCATACATGGGCTGACAATTAGTGGTCATGGGAATTTTAGCTCAAGATCAATGCACCCAATTAAAATGTTTGGGTTCTTGGCTAGCCCAACTCTCATGAGGTACAGCAAGCTTGTGTGCTGTTGATTAAAGCTACTGATGAAATGATTTCCACTTCGTCTAACTGCATCAAAATTCTTTCTTGTAAGCAAAATCTTTCTGTATCTGTTGCTCAGTTTATTACAGATGTTAAATCAATATATCAGCATCAGTAACCCTGTTCATGCTTTTCCCTAGGCTATAACTGTGGCTTTTAAGAATGGACTTTTGCTACATTTTTTGACCTAGGCAAAATTAATTAAGCTCAATTGGGAAACAAACTCCTGAAGACATGGGGAGCATAGTTACTCATTGACATTCACAGGAAAATTGTCTGCAATGCTTATGGCAGCACCATCTATACCCAAAGTCAGAGAAATGTGCATTTGACCTCATTGAGGTCACTGAATTCCTAGAGTACCATGCTCTCCTGTCCTTTGATCTCTGTAGAGAATAAGGGAGATGACCTTGAGAGAAATATGCAAGACCAAATACATAAGCAAAGAGGGCTGAAACATTCTTTAAGTTCTGGGAAGCAAGGTAGTATCTGGAAGAGACTCAGGCAGGGTCCTCCCTGATTCACTAGGGATTAAGAAGGCGGGGAGTTAAAGCACAATCAGACTTACAAGATTCTGTTGTTATAGACAATCTCAATA